TTATAGAGATCGATATCGCAAACAATTTTTAGTTCAACAATTTTCATAAAAATCAGAATTTTGCACATTTTGTCAAATTTCTCGGATACGGACCATTTCAGGAAATTTTAACATAAAACAAAAATTATAGATAATAATATTAGAAGTAACTTTTATTTGAACAATTTTCTTCTCTAAACATAAATAACAGAAATATTCCATAAAATATAAAAACGGCCTCCCATAAAGTACCCCCCTAGATGTTCCGACTTTGTCCAAAATCTAATCATTTCACTTCAGGCCGAAATAAACCTTAAGTTTAAAATTTAATGTTTTTTTCTTTATCCGTTATTGAGTTTTCTTCAATATTCGAAATTTACACATTTTCTCAAATATCTCGAATACGGTCCATTTTAGAGAAATTATGTATAGAATAAAAATTATAGAGAATTATATTACAAACAACTTTTATTTGAACAATTTTTATAAAAAAATATTTTTTTTACATTTTGTCAAATTTCTCGAATACGGACCATTTTAGGAAAATTTTGCATTTAACAAAAATTATAGATAATTATATTTTATATTTTATTTGAAGAATTTTCTTCTCCAAACGTAAATAACAGATATATTTCATAAAATATAAAAATGACCACCTATAAAGTACCCCCCCAGATGTTCCGACTCTGCCCAAAATCTAATCAGCTCATTGGACGCTGAAACAAAGCTTAAGTTTAAAATTTGGTGTTTTTTTGTGTATCGGTTCATGAGTTATGCGTTATACAGACACACACACACACACACACACACACACACACACACACACACACACACACACACACACACACACACACACACACACACACACACACACACACACAGACACACACACACAGACAGACATCATCGCGAAAATAGTCAAAACGGATTCAGGGGACCTCAAAACGTAAAAATCCATCGAAAACTCGAGGTCGAAAAAAATCATGATTCCTATACTTTCCTTATATCTGTATACAGATAGGAAAGTAAAAATGTTGTTCCCGTCTAAATAAATATACAATGTAATAAAATTAATTTATATTACTTAGGGGTTATGCGCTGTGACATTCCATTTTTGTCATTTGTCAAATTATCCGATATGAAAAAACGGAACGAGAGAAATTTATAATCAGTACATTATAAACATTGTTACTGTTATTAGATTGGCTGCAAAATGCATCTCACTTATAATTTAACTTCCTGTGACTTTATTTCATCACCAGATCTCCAAAACTATAACGCCGATTGACTTGAAATTTGGCATAGTTACTCCTTTTTCGACGAAGACACTCACTAAGAACGGATTTTTTAAACATCACATTCTAAGGGGGGGGGGGGGAAACGGGGGGAGAAATTTTGATTGGAGTATCGAATGCTTTAAAGGTAATAACTTGAAAATTGGAATTGTAGCTACTCATCACAAATAAATAATGATTTATTTCAGGGTTTCTGGATACTTACATTTTAAGGGGGGAAGTTGGGGGGTGAAAGTGTGTAGGGGTATCGAATTTTTTTAAGGTAACTTGAAATTGGGAATAATGAAGAATTTCAGTGTTTTGGACTTTCATATTGTAAGGGGGGAAACTGGGGGAGAAAGTTTGCATGGGATTATCGTGTTTTCAAAGGTAGAACTTAAAAATTAAAATTGTAGCTACGCATAAATTATAATCAGGGCCGACTAGAGGGGGGCAGCCGGGACTAATTCCCGGGGCCCGGACTCAAATGGGGGGCCCGGCAACCGCGGCGAGGATTTTGGTTTTCTTTCAGAAGTTCGGCGCAAGATAAGAGAGCGAAGTTTTTGGTTGGGGTCTTTTATTTTTAGAAAATTCAATTCAAGTAGGAGAGGAAAAGTTTTTTGTTTTTTTTTTAAATTCAATTCAAGTAGGGGAGGAGAAAAGTTTTTGCTTGAAGAACTTTTTTTGAAGTAGAGGAGGCAAAGTTTTTGTTTGAAGAGTTTTTTTTTATTGAGAAATTTAAGTATGAGGAGAGAATATTTTTTATTTGTCACGGGGCCCGATCTAGAGAATTGTCCTGGTGCCCGGCCTGGCTCACGGCGGCCCCTGATTGGTGGAAACTGTGGTGAAATAAAAAGAAATAAAAATTAATAAAAATTAATAAAAATAAATAAAAAATAAATAAAAATAAATAAAAATAAATAAAAATAAATAAAAATAAATAAAAATAAATAAAAATAAATAAAAATAAATAAAAATAAATAAAAATAAATAAAAATAATTAAAAGTATTAAAAATAAATAAAAATAAGTAAAAAATAAATAAAAGAAATACAAATACATGAAATTAAATAAAAATAAATAAAAATAAATAAAAATAAGTAAAAATGAATAATAAAAATAAATGAAAACAAATAAGTGGAACTTCCCTGGTATAAAAAATATGAGGAATGAATTGATAAAAACGACATATCTCGATGTCCCGACACCCCGACAGCCTAAGGGAGGACTGTTTATCTCACGGACAGTTTTAGGTCACCTGTTAGAGAGGCAGTTCCGAATGCTATCTGGTGATATTAGCAGATGAGAGCCGTACCAGAAATGTGGTATACAAAGAGATTCTTAATTAGATTACCTTAATATTAGATTACTCTACTTAACTCTATCTATGATACTATCACATACATATTATGAACCCTAAAAAATATATCCCTGCTTTTATTCGGCTGTCATGCATTTTTTAAATTAAAAATACGACTCCACTTGTGCGAAGCCGCGGGCAACAGCTAGTATACATATGTATATGGATGCAATGGATAATTGGCACTGATTTTTTGCGATATTGGCGGTCCTTTTACTTCTTTTAGACATTTAGGTAGATATATTAAAAGTTCTTATGGAATTTCAGATTTATAAAAATAGTATCTCTTTCTGAAATTGTAGTCTGGAGGAAGATGTAATAAAACATTCAAAAGTAGAATTTTTAAACACTGTAAATTTCTTTAAATATACCTTCACTTATCCATAATTACATTTGGAACTGGAAATAGAGTCGTAAATTATCATAAAATAAAATTACAATTTGAACTCGCTTCAACCAAGCACGAACAATTGGAACTAAATACCAATTTCTCTTCTACCACCTCACATTTGAATACATTTTACCTACAGTAAATCAATAACTGCAAATTTATTTTCTTCTTTAATAATAGTTACGAGGAAAACTAAAACTCTCTTCTTGTTTAAAACGAAACAAAATGTAAGGAAGTTTCAATGATTATTAAAACATAGAACGAAAGACGACGAAGATATGTAAGGTAAACGGATAATGGGGTCTATTCCTTTATATTTAACGGCCTTTAAAAATATGTTCGTATTCGTTAATTTACTTCTGTCATTATTTAAAAAGATTTCTTTAAGATAGTCCTCTAATGTATTTTAAAGATCCGTTTAAATAATGACAGAAGTAAAGAAGAAAATATTTTTAAAGGCCGTTAAATACAAAGGAATTGTTACAGAATAGACCCCATTAAGTGATAATTAAAATTCATGATAAATATTTCACATAATTTTACGTAGGCATTAAAAAGAAAAAAACTTGTCTTATACAATGGCCTAGTATGTGGACTATGTATCTTCTTTCGAAAACATATTAATGAAATTAAATAACAAAAATTATACAATTAATAATACCTACATAAATTAACAGTTAACTTGCATCCGTTTGAATATAAACGCGATACATAGGAAATGGCAAACGTCAACAAAGGAAAATTGTATTCCTTTTGTGGCTAGTGTCATACCTTGATGCAGGCACTTATTTGTACTACCCACGTTCGAGCAGCACTGTTTTCGTCTAATCTGAACTAATAATAAGTTTGCTGCCTACCTACCTATGATAAACTGTAGAAAAATTATTGTTTATCACTTTCATCAATTTTTTTTGGTAAATTCGTACTTGTCCTATTCATATTTTTTTCATGCAGCAACTAATAAAACTTGTGAACAAAAGAGAAATAGAAAAGAGAGTGGAAGTGGATGTAGATAAATTCAAATGAAAAACAGAGACGAAAGAAATAAAATTAGCGAAAACTAAGACTACAGAAAAACGAGACAAAAATAATTGCAATTGAAATAAAATATTTGAGAAAAATAACGGGGAAAACAAAACAGGACAGAATTAGGAATGAATATATAAGAAACTACGTAAAATTGAACCAATAATGACAGATCAAAAAGAAACAAGTAAAAATGAAATCGGACAAAATATTGAGAAACTTAATGGAAAAATAGGAAAATAACGAAAAACGCAGCGAGGAAGACTCAGAAGAAAATTGATTGACAAGGTTGAAGAGTTCGGAATCGATAAGAGTAAAACATTGCTAGAGACGAATACACCAGACAGAGATAAACAAGCACTGAAGAAATGGGTCCAGAAAGAGAAATGATTTCAATTAAATACCCGAAAGTGTAGAACGAAATGAAAAAGAATATTTTTTCATTAAAATATTCATTGTTCATTTGATATAACACACGACTGCTTAAAAAGGTCTTTAGCAACACTGCTAAATTTTGTAACCAATATGTCTTTATTGGAAGGTAATGATGGGTGGAAATATGCTGAAGGCTGCCTTCAGGATCTCAACTGATTTTGCTCGGTTGATTTTGAATTTTTTAAAAATCTTTATAGGAAAACCTTATTATACAAATGACAAGTGATCATTAAGCTCTTAGATTTAGGGCCGATTTCAAAATGCATATTAAGTCCATAATATCTTATGGAATTAATTGTTCCATTAGTTAATGGATATTTTAATATTCATTATGAAATCGGTCCTTAGTAATTAAATTGCAGCTAGAGACCTTCGACTTGATCCTCAATTAAGCGAAATATTTGTAGGACTTTTTCAAAAATGATTTGCCTGAAATTTTGTTCGTTTTGGACTTTCAACTATTTTTTAAACCTTTTTTCAGCCAACAACGGCCCAAAATAAAATATAAGAACTAATAAATATCATTTTGAACTTACCTTTCTTGGTGCTGTATTTCTTTGACCATAATGTCGGCTAAAGGATCGGTGAATGGTCTTTCTCCCAACAGTCTTTGTTGGTCGAGATCACCCTGCATCTGGCTGAAAGCATGATCTCCAACGTTTATGGAGGTCTCCATTTGTGACGAAAGATCGATGGATTCTTCATCGGCTGTAATAAAGAAAATGTATCTTTAGATTCCACGAGTTTGAGTATAAATACGACGTTGTTTTTATAACGGAACTAATATCCTATGGATATCCATAAAAAGTATTTATATTTATAGTATAGGATCCCAGATAGCACACGACGTCCGTTGGACGTCCATATTTTGTCCAAATAATGTCCTGGATGTCCATGAACTTCATATGGATATTCATTGGACATCCGTTTTCCGTTATCCCATGGACATACCCATTCAGAAGTCCAATGGATGTCCAAAATATGTCCATGATGGACAATATAAAAATGACTAACTTATAATAAATTATTATAATTCTTCTTGTATAATTTAATTATTTACTACTATATTTTAATTAAAATAAATCAAATAATTTTCCTCTCCACTCGCCTTTGTTGACAAGATAGAAAAGTAAAAGGCCACTCAGGCCAGACTCGAAGAAGAAAAGAAGAAAGAGGTTAAGAAGAAAACACAGCACATGGATGTTTATCTGGTAAGAAAATAAGTATAATTATTAATTAAATCATTTAAAAATCTAAAAATTAAAAAGCAAATCGTTTGTTTTAAACTAATAAAACCTATCAATTATGTTTTAAACTTTATGTTTTCGATTTACATTCAAACAATCCCTTTCTTTTAAGGTGGATTCATAAACTACGTTCAGTTCGCGCTCAGTTGCAGTTGGCAAGACATAACCACAAATTCCACAAAATAAAATTATTTTTTGGTGTTATTTTTGTTTTAATTATATTGGTAGATGGTGTTGGTTATAAAATAATTATGAATCCGTTATAACTTCTTATCCAAAACATACTTACCGTGTCATTTTGCGCTGTTTATGTTGAACTCGAACTGAGCGTGAACTGAACGTAGTTTATGAATCCACCTTTAGACCTTTTGTCAAATGATGTACCTACCTATTTAAGAAAATGGCTTTACTAAAAGCTAGCAAATTCGAGATGATGTCAACACAATTATTATTGTAACTAAGAGGTAAGAAAACTTTCAAAGCAGAAGTAAAGTTTCTATTTGTACTGCATGAGACGTTAGCAGAAGTAGAAGGATGTTTAGAAGATACAAATATTTTTAAAGAAGCCGTAAGTTTTACTTTTATTAAATACAATAGAATCGTTTTGTAACGTTTAAGAAATAATGCATTGAAAGATGTTTCATAAGTTATTTCTCTTTTATGTTTACAAATACATATTTTTATTGCAATTTTAGATTCAGCAGTTACTAAAACCAGGGACAAGGACATGACGAACATATAAACAGATGGTTCGTTTCCATAATTTCTAATACCCTCACGAAAGAATTCACATAATATTGTGGCATGAAAGTAAAATGGTAATTTAAAGAAACAATGAGCAGTTTTTTGTTTATATGTAAGTATACATTAGTCAATGCATATTTTCATATTAGCTAACAATATTTTATCTAAAAATTTTACATTTTTAACTATCACTTTTGCCTGATCAGACGTTTATTAAACGATTAATTTAAGACTCAATATTCGTATAAAATGTAATGTCTTTTTTTAGCTGCTGCTGAGAGTGACAATGGTGCTGCTTAAAAAGTAAGCGAAATAGCCTTAAGAAAATGGCTGAGAAGGTCAACAGAAAGGAGTGCGTATAAAACTAATACATGCTTGATATTATTTATGACAATAAAAATAAGTCTATAGTTGCAATTATTTTATTTCATATTAATATAGGTGGTGATGTCCGTCAGATGTCCATAAATTGTCCAAAAGCAATACAAAAAGAGTCCATATATGGACCTTTCATGGAGTCCAAATGGACATCCAGGAGTGGGACATTTGTATAGTCCAGTGGATGTCCATTGGATGTCCTCTGGTAAAATGCTGGACGTCCTTTGGACAGCCGATATGTCCATGAATGGACTTCCGATGGACATCCAATGGATTGATTTGTGCTGTCTGAGATCCGAAGTAAGGTCGACCTTCCTCCATCTGTTTAATGGATGAAAGTTTTTTTTATTAAATAAAATAAGTTTATAAATATACCACAAATGGGTCACCTAAGAAAATACTGTCACGGCTATTTTTTTACTTTCTTTTCTAGATACAAATAAGCAAAGTATAGGAATCATGATACAAGTTGCTTGTGATGTCATTCTCTATAATTTTGGTCATATACATGATTTCCCTAAAATGGACCGTATTCGAGATATTTGAGGAAAAGTGCAAATTTCAAATTTTGAAGATAACTCAAAAACGGATAAAGAGAAAAACACTAAATTTTAAACTCAAGCTTTAATCCATCCTGCGGTAAGCTGATTAAATTTTGGGCATAGTCGAAGCATCTGGGGAATACTTTATAGGGTGTTGTTTTTTTACTTTAAGAAAATAAATAGTCGACAGAATTTCCTTAGGCAACCCATTAAATCCGTTAAACAGATGGGTGAAGACCTTTCTTCGAATCTAAGGCCAGCATTTATAAACAGATTTCAGCCAAGTCCGACTCAGCTGAGTCGTCCTTGAACGAAAATCGAAGTTCGGTTATATCGCGTGACTTTAGAGATGGGTAATAACAAATCCGTAAATGTACTTAACAGTTACAGATTTGCTCCTATCCATCTCTAACTTCCAGTGTAACACCGGAACCAACTGAAACTTTAGAGAAGTTGTAAACGAACTCCTGAGTCCGACTGAGTTTAGTTTATAAATACGAACCTTAGACTATTAGTTTTTATTATCTGTTTCATAACCATTTGAAACATATCAAGGACGTGTCTGTGCTCGCGAACTCAGGTGATCATTGTTGACGGGTAAGAACAAGTGTGTGGACGTGACAGGAGTCGTGTGCGCCAAGCGACTTCGGCGCGAAAAACTTAAGGCTAACTAGCTTAGATGACGTAGTCATATGTGTATCTCTCTCTTTAAAACAACACAAAACAGCAGAGAGGTCTGTACTTTCACGGAGAACCGATCGACTCTCACTAATATCATGACAATTCTATTTTGTTATACAAAAATCACTTAAGTTCTCTGAGCAAAGATGCAGTGTTAAATATGTACAAATTTGAAAGTTGTTGTGCAGCGTTTTTGCACAATAAATTGTTTTTTACAAAGTGTTGGGAATTCATGTCCATATGGAGATGGTTGCAGCTAGCACGGACAGGAGATAGTCCATTTGGTAAGCGCGCCTTAGGGCCGTATTTATAATTTGCGTTTGATTCAACTGTTAGTAACCTACAAATCCAACATTATCCCTATAAGATGCCCATTGCATTTCAAATGCATATACTTTGCTGCAGTCCAAATGGATATTCAGAGGTATTTGACATCTAGTAGTTGGGATCAATAAAATTGTGGGAGAAGAAATAATTTAGTTTTAACATATATTTATTAGAATAGAAGTTTTTTGTTTTTTCGGTGAAGCAATATTTAAATAACGCTTTACATCAGGGCTTTACGTAAAGTGTGATCCGATTAACTCGATCACATAGATTAGTACTTTTCATTCGAAAATCACTCTCTTCGATAGAAGGCTAAATTGGATTACTAAATATATCTGTCAAGATTATGAGGTTATATTATGTCGGATAGTGATCTGTGAGGTAGTTAAGTATAAAATTTAGGCTTCGAATTTAAAAAAAATCTGATGTGTCCAACACATGACTTTCCTATCTAGTTATTACAGGCCTTTTCCGGTTATTTTGTACAACCTTTTGTAGCACCTCTGTAAATGTTTAGAGGATAAACTAAACTAAAATTTTGTATAGAACAAAAAATATAGAGAATAAAATTAGAATACCTTTTATTTGAAGAATTTTCTTCTCCAAACGTAAATAACAGATATAATCCATAAAATATAAAAACGACCCCCCCTAGATATTCCAACTCTGCCAAAAATGAGTTGATGGCCAGAATGAAGGTTAAGTTTAAAATTTGGCGTTTTTCTCTTTATCCGTTTTTGAGTTTTCTTCAAAATTAAAAATTTACACTTTTTCTCAAATATCTCGAATACGGTCTATTTAAGAAAAATTATGTATGAGACAAGATTTAAAGAGAATTATATCACAAATAACTTTTAATTCAACAATTTTCATAAAAATTTGAATTTTTTGCATTTTGTCAAATTTTTCGAATTAGGAAAATTTTGTATTAAACAAAAATTGTAGAGAATAATATAAGAAGTAACTTTTATCTGAACAATTTTCTTTTCTAAATGTAAATAACATATATATTTCATAAAATATAAAAACCACCACCCATAAAGTACCTTCCCCAGATGTTCCGACTCCGCCCAAAATTTAATCAGTTCACTTCAGGACGAAATAAAGCTTAAGTTGAAGCTTTAATGTTTTTCTCCTTATTCGTTTTTGAGTTTTGTTCAAAATTCGAGATTTATATTTTTTCTCAAATATCTCGAATACGGTCCATTTTAGAAAAATTATGTATGAAACAACAATTATAGAGAATTATATTACAAACAACTTTTATTTAAACCATTTTCACAAGAATTTGATTTTTTACATTTTAGGAAAATTTTGTATAGAACAAAAAATATAAAAAATAGAAGTAACTTTTATTTGAAACATTTTCTTCTCCAAACGTAAATAACAGATATATCTCATAAAATATAAAAATGACTTACTATAAAGTACCCCCCCCCCCCAGATGTTCAGACTCTGCACAAAATATAATCAATTCACCGGAGGCTGGAATAAAGCCTAAGTTTAAAATTTGGTGTTTTTCTTTGTATCCGTTTATGAGTTATCGAGGATATACAAACACACACACACACGCACGCACGCACGCACCCACACACACACACACATATAAATACACAAACACATACACACACACACACATACACATACACACACACATACACACACATACACATACACACACACATACACACCACCACACACACACACACACACACACACACACACACACACACACACACACACACACACACACACACACACACACACACACACACACACACACACACAC